AATCAAACAACTGATTTGCATCTTTCTTTCTACAACAGCCCGACATGTCTGCAAAACACAACTTGTCTTTGAATGTAATTTTGTCTAACCGTCCACCTACTACAGTTTGGATGAATGGCTCCTCCTGGCTGGCAGCAGTTCAAACCTGTCAAAGCCTATCAGGGCACTCCAAGCTTGAGCACCGACTCACCATCACTGCTTGAGTAGCTGACCTACAGACCTACTGCCATCTATTTGAGAACAATGCCAAAGTGTACACCGGTTTGTTTTTAGCGCCCAGTAATTAAACATGTTTGGGTATGAACATGGCTCGAAGGGAAAAAACTGTTGGGAGGTTTGAGAATATGGATTTTGCAAACATAAGAGCCAGAGCCTCAAGGTAGGAACCAAAAATACACCAAACAGTGATAGAGAGGCAAGTATCACTGTAAATGTGAAGCAACTCTCCTGACATTTATGACTATTATCCTTCTTCTTGAGCAGTCAGGCTCCTTCCTCCTACTGAACAGACAAGAGGATTTTTCTTCCTTCTTGTTTTCCTCCCATTTTACTTCATTTGAAAGGGATTGGTGTGGATGAGTTGGTGATTTTCAGACAGATGATTGACCTAGAAGCCAGCCAGGGGGTTGGGGGAGTGGAAGGGTGGAGTCTAAATCTGCCTTTCCATGCTCGTGAAAGACGTCAAACAATACAAAAAGATATTCTGGCATTTTGGGCGCAGTCCTCCCTGAATGATTAGGTTTCATAACTACAGGGAGTGATGCTGTGCTTTGAAAGACCCCCACACACACACAGCCACACTGTGTAGTCCCCCCTTGGCTCAGATCACGCTTTGAGTGTTCTGACTTACCTCCAGACCTGTGCCAGCTGAAAGATGTGAATGAGAGCCTGGAAGAGCCAGACGAAGACTCTGCAGCACCCCCGGGCTCCTCCCCCGGTGCCCGGCCCTGGCAGCACCCCGGCCGCGGCAGAGCGGCCAGCGCCCCGCTCGCCGCTGTCCTTGGTGCTGATGTCGCGCTCCGACGCTGCCACCACGGCGGCCGCGGCAGTGCCGCTTTCCACGGTTTCCGAGAAATCGTAGGCGAACCATCGGAAGCTCAACACTTGCACGACCACGGACGGGACTATCACAAAGACCAGAGTCAGTACAAACTGCGGGTAGTACTTCCTTAGGTAGTAGTCCGCGGCCAGCCACAGGTCTGAGGCCCCGTCCGCGAAGAACACCAGAAGGGCGCACAGCGTCCAGCAGCAGTCCGAGAGGGTATAGCGCTGATCGTCGGGACGGCGCTGGGGAGGCCGCGGGTCCGACCTGGAGGGGCACTCGGGTGGGATTGCGTTTCGGAGAGAGACGGGTGCACCGTCAGATTTCGCGGCCATATTTGTTGTAGGGAAGCGAGTAAGGGATGGGAAAATGATGGAAGGGGGGGAGGGGGGTCGCCCAGCCTGTCGGTCTGTAGACTATGAATGCGTGTGGGAGGGAGGGAGGGAGGGGAAAGGAGGCATGGAGGAGGGCCAGAGTAGGAGAGAGAGAGGGACAGGGGGGGGATCATTGCCGCTCCTCAATCATCGGAGATCATATAGGAAAATGAGATTTTAAGCGGTCTGAGCGGAGATTTCTCTCCATCAAAGGGAGCTGAGCTGTTCGGTTACAGCGGGTAGCCTACTTTGGGTTTGTCCGTCCACAAATCTAGGAATTTATTAAAAGACAGAAGTGGGAGAACTACAGAAATAGTTTACTCGACACAAAGTAAAAATAATAAAGCTGAAGAATAAATATTACAAATAAAAGTTTCACATTTTAAAACTGTAAAACTGTAATCTGTAACATTATAAATTACTAACACATCATAGTAGCTTAATGTTTCCTAACCAGGGTCCCCTAGAAGCTCAAAGAGGTCTCATAGCATTCACAAAAAGAATACAGAGTCTGCCTTAATTTTTTTAAACATTGCTTATATGTGTGTGTAAAGTGCATTAACTGTATACAAATGATGGTCCTGGGTCTAAGAAGCTAAGGGAGTGCAGAAGTGCCTTTAACCTGCATTCCTTTAAATGGCCAGCAGGGGGCTTCTGCTTCCAAAAACAGTCCAGTTAAATAGAAGTCTGTGAGTTTTCTGTTGAGTTTATGTTCTCAATCGCTGCTTTCAAGTCATATTTAATGCAAAGTGAGGTTTATTTTGCAAACTATGGTTATTTTTAGAGTCAAAAATGGTGATAAAGCAGAGAAGCTGGCAGAGTATCTTGTGCGGTGTCCCTGGGGTTCTTAGATCCACTCTCAACAGGTCTACTTTCAGAACACCTAAATGGTGAGGAGATAAACACTTCACTGAAGGCTACATTCACCCTTTTATAAACAGTCTGAACTAAAAACGAATGGCTCAAACTTACCCAGTGTAAATGGTGCGGGAAATAATTATTTGATCCCTTACTGAATTTGTACAGTAGTGGCCAAAAGTTTTGAGAATGACACAAATATTGGTTTTCAAAAAGTTTGCTGCTTGAGTGTTTTTATATCTTTGTGTCAGTTGTTTCTGCAATGTTTTGAAGTAGAATTACAAGCACTATATAAGTTTTAAAGGCTTTCATCGATATGTTTATGCAAAGAGTCAATATTTATAGTGTTGGCCCTTCTTTTCCAAGACCTCTGCAGTTTGCCCTGGCATGCTTTCAATCAACTTCTGAGCCAAATCCTGACCGATGGCAACCCATTCTTTCATAATCAATGCTTTGAGTTTGCCAGAATGTTTTGTTCCCCGAGCCACTTAATTATCACTTTGGTCTTATGGCACGGTGCTCCATTATGCTGGATAAGGCATTGTTCTTCACCAAACTGCTTTTGGATGGTTAGATGTTGCTGTTAGAGGATGTTTTGGTTCCATTCTTTATTCAGGGCTGTGTTCTTTGGCCAAATTGTGAGTGAGCTAACTCCCTTGGACGAGAAGCAGCCCCACACATGAATGGTCTCTGGATGCTTTACTGTTGGCATGAGACAGGACTGATGGTGGTCCTGACCTTTTATTTGCGAGGAGTGGCTTCTTTGCGGCCCTTCTTGACACCAGGCCATCTTCCTAAAGTCTTTGTCTCACTGTGCATGCAGATGCACTCACACCTGCCTGCTACGTTTCCTGAGCAAGGTCGGCACTGGTGGCACTCACGCAGCCCAATCATCTTTAGGAGACCGTCCTGGTGCTTGTTGGACTTCAATTTCAACTGAACTTCAATTTTGGTGCAGTCTTAGTAGCAAAACCATCCTTGCCCGTGAAGCCTTTTTTATGCAATTCAATGATGGCTGTGTTTCTTTGCAGGTAACCAAGGTTAACAGGAAGAACAATGATTTCAAACATCAGCCTCCTTTCATCACCTCCAGTCTGGTATTCTAAACCAGTCAGCATGACATAATGATCTCCACCTGAGTTAACGACAAGATTATTGAAATGATCTCAGCCAGTTGTTTGGGGATTTAGTTCACTGTCAAGGCAAAGACGGACTTCGCAATTCATCTGATCACTCTTTATAACACTCTGGAGTATTTGCAAATTGCTATCATGAAATTGGAAGCAGCAAACTTTGTGAAAACAAATATTTGTGTCATTCTTAAAACTTTTGGCAACAACTGTAAGTTTGCTCACATACCAAGAAATGAACAGTCTCTAATTTTTATGGAGAGAAACAGAAAATCAACCGAAACTCCAGAAAAACACATGACACAAAAGTTATAAATGAATTTGCATGTCATTGAGTGAAATAAGCATGTGATCCCCTACAGCCCAGCCACAATTCTGGCTCCCACAGGTTGGCTGTATGCCCACACAGATTAATATCAATCAATTACAGATATTCCTGATCTTATCTTTTTATGTGTATAAAGCACACCTGTCCACAGAATACATTTCTTCCATTTCAACCTCTCCACCACCTCCAAAGCCAAAGAGCAAGTCTGTAGACCTACACGGGGCTGAAGTGGACTACAAGACTATCAGCAAGAACCTTGGTAAGACAGTAAGAATTGTTGGAGCAATTAGGAGCTTGTTTATGATCTGGAGGCAGTTGGGACCATAGTCACCAAGCACATCACTGGCAACTCTGTAATGGATTGAAATCTTGCAGTGCCCACACGGTCTCCCTGCACAAGAAACCATGTGTACAGTGTGTAAGTTTGCCATTGAGCATGTAAACGATTCAGAGGCTTGACCTCTAGGATTTTCTCCTGGAGAACTGCTGCTCACTGGATATTGTTTTTCAGACCATCTCTTTAAACACTGGAGATGTTTGTGTGGGAAAGTACTGGATCAGCAGTTTTTGAAATACTCGGCCCAGTGCATCTGGCACCAACAACCATACCGCATTCATTTAGACATGTGGATGTGCTCACGTCTACATGCCTAAGTGGATTGGGTTGCTGATTGGCTGATTAGATATTTGTTAACGAGCTGCTGCAAAGGGTACGTAAGAACTGGCCTGTGAATGCATCATGGTGGTCATGTACTGTTTTTGTTACTTAATTATTAAAGCCACCACCCCAAGGTGGAGCAGCTGAGTTCTGTCTGCTCATCTTAATCAGTCTCGATTCTGCTTTTTGCTGCCTTCAATTCATACCCTGTCTTTCTGTACGAGTTCCTCTTTCTCTGCAGCTTCCTCTCAGCTCAGACCTCCTCTGGTGACTCAGTCTGAGGCCGTCATTTCTGCTGACAGGAAACACTCAAGTTACTCTTTTAGCTCTCTGGGAGATATCGATCTTCACACTGCTCTATTCGTGACCCAGAAAACCAGAACTTAATGAAACGCACTGTCAACTCATGCTGCTGTGGATAAAACATATTTGTTCATATAATGTGACTTTGATCAAATCAATTATTTTAAAAAGCGATTTCATAATCAATTTTCCACAGCTCATTTGGGTCCAGAGGGCAGCAGTATACGCAGATGTGTCCAAACTTCACTCCCAATCTTTTTGTTAAACACCAAAAACATGCTAAAAGGACAAAAACCAAGACCAAAACTAATGAAAATGTACTAAAATTTAATCATTCATAAAAGCTGGAAAATCATCTGTGACAGGGTAACACAAGAAGCGATATTAGAGTTGGTTTAGTACAATATATTTTCAGCCTCAAGACACAAATCAGAACGCACCATTTCCCCCATCAGTCTATAAAATACTAATTTCCTTAGCTTTATTATGCAAAAATGGAAGTAGAATATATTATGGGAAATATGGAAGGCTTGCAGCTCTCGATATAAAACAAAGTCACTTAGGAAAGATGTTATTTCATCAATACACATCCTTGTAAGTAGGAGCGAGTAATTTATGGACAATGATGCATCTTCATTGACACTGTTAGTGCAGAAATGTACAAGAAGACCAACATTTCACATGGATACTTTTGCGAACGCATTGTCACAATGTGTCAAATATCTGATGTTACTTTTAATAAAACATTTTAGTTCCCATAGATGGATATAAATCCAAGGTCTCCTCTTTTATATTGATATTTCCAAAAAGAAAGACAACTTGGAGAAGAGGACAAAAACAAAACAGTTGTCATCAGGCTGACAGTAAAAAAAGAAGAGGTGGATATCTTTGCCATTAAAGAGCAGAAAGAAAGAGTTTCTTGAGAGTATGTGCCGTCTCCTGCCATTTTGCGAGTGGTGAAATTTCTCTGTCAGCCTTTTTCAAAATGCTTCGGAGAGGACTTGGAATGCTGGCACGATCCACTGGGAAACAGTTAATCATTACAAGTTTCTGAAAGCAAGAAAAAGAAAGAATAAAGTCAGAAGATTCAATGTAAACGATGTGGACAACTTGTTCCTGAAACATTTTAAAAAGTCAAGACTGTGTCTCGACACTGCAGGACATTTGCCCACCTTTAGTAGTCCCCTGTGGCTTTGAAAAACCTGTATGATTATCAAGAAGGAAATGAACAACCAGGGTTATTTTTTAAGACTTGAATTCTTATAAGTTGTGAAGCTAGCCCAGCTACAAGGTGGGCTGCAAGCCTTTATTCCTTGTGCCAGTTTGAGTCCTGGATAAATGGGGAGGGCTGCACTGATGTGAAATAAATACTGAATCAAATATGCAGATCAAAATAATTCCACACCAAATTGGTCAAGCCCTGGATGGAGGCTGATGACCCACTGTGGTGACTACTAACAGCTAGGAGGATTGTTACAAGGGATTCTTTTTCATTTTAAACTGTAAAAACATGCAGTTTATAAACAGAATGTTAATTTTGTCAACACATTATCCTCTTAATTCTGCTGAACCTCAACTGTGGCAGTTAACATGGATGTAAACACCTAAATATCTACTACATATAGACACACACACACGTACATACATATATATAAGTGTGTTTCCTTTGCTTTTCTAAAATATAAACTATAAAATGAAAACCATCAGCGAATCCACAAGGGCACAAGATGTTCACTTGCTTAATTTTTGGCTGTTGCAGGATAGAGACCTCACATGGAGCCAACTGGATAGGCTGTTCAGTTTTTCCCCTTCTACCTTTTCAGAATCCAAAAACCGATGGGAAAATTAGGCAAGACTTTTCACCAAAGCGCTCTCACTGCTGCAGCTGTTCATGTTTCATTTGAACTGTAGCACATTTCCTGTAGAAGGCCATCCCATCTGCACTCATGTCAGCAATTCAAACTTTGGGAGCATCAGTTCTTTGGTACTCTGCCCGTTTTTTGACACCTGACATTGGCTGAGTGTAGTGCTGTCCCCCCCTCTTTTGTACTTGTCATTTTACTTAATTCTCTAACTCCTTGTGTATTTAACTCATGAAATCACTTTCCTATAAAAGCATAATTCAGCTGTCCAATAGTCACTTGCACTTGGAGTCAGTCCATATAAGGGATGTTCTTGTTGCAGTGAAAACTTTTACTTTTCAGCTGCTCTGAATCAGTGAAGTGAAGCAGCTATATTGAAACCATACAAAATATTGACTTTCTTCGGCTGAGGCGAGACGCTTTGAAACAACTCATAAATGTTCAGCCTCCACCTCTCTAGAAACCATCTGTCCTCTTGGTGAACCTTTGTTTCCAGTTTACAAAGAGATTTACTGTGGCACCAAAATGTCAGAGTGCTGCTTATCCCAGTTTATGTTTTTGTTGCAGCTTCCCAAAAATGTCACATGAAACATAAAAATGTCAACTTCGTTATGCTTCCTATTTGCTGCTTTGTAAGACAAAACAATCACAGTATAAACTGTTTTTCTGCATTCACAAAGATCCATCAGGCAGGGAGGATTATGACATCATTTCCCTAGTTCATGAGTTTGTGAGCCACACTTCAGAGACTGTCTTTTGGGATTTTAGCCCAGTGAGGAAGCTGGGAATTAACAGCATGTAGTGGCTAAAGCATGCCTTGATTTGACTCAGAGTGTCGCATGCTCAACTCACAAACATTTCCTGAACGGCAAGTACAAGTGTGGACAAGTCATAACTGCCTCAGAAGCAAATCATAGTAGTAGGGGAAAAGAAAGACTCAAACTTTTGAGTCACTATCTGAAACACTTCCAGTGTGATAAGGAGAAAATCTACAGTCCTATTGTGCAATAAACATCATTCCCAATGTGTCTGTGAGGCCTTAGCTGCCTGAGTTGCGCCAGCTTGAGCATGTGTGACGTATGTCTATGATAAGATGATTGCTGTCAGGAAACTAGGAGGTAAACAGCAATGGTGCTGCGAAAGATGCACAAAAACCTTAAAGAGGAAGAAAAACATTTGAAACGTTGAAGTGTTGCACCAAAAGGACAGTTTGGGTTCAGTTTGGGAGGAGTGCTTTTGGTGAATATCATCAGCACACTGTAGAAGCTGTTGCAAGATGGGAGAGAAAGTAGCAGAACTGGTGAGACTTCCAGGAGTCCAGTTTGCTCCCATTTCATTACAGTGGAAATGCCTTGTTTTGCTTGATGACCAGTGTTTGCAACACAGCAGGCATCATTTAAGAAGCTAGAGCAAAACAATGTCCACAGCATTGTTCTTTGACAATGACAATAAATAAATACTTGACTTGACTTGACAGCATCTCAATCAAACCTCAAATCTCCAGAGGCGGATTTTTTTTATATCAAAGCAAGGAGACTGCAAACCAAAGATTTATATTGAAAAACAAACATCAGACAATAACACAGTGGTGTAATTAAGGAAAAAAAAACAGCTGGTAATTTCTGTGAATTTGTTGTAGGAACAAAAAGGCCAGAGAAGCTCCAACAGTTCTCTCTATAATTAGATTTCATTACAGTTGCGCTGCTGCAGCAGCAGGTGGAGCCACCACATTCGCCAAAATTCATATAAGCACACTGTAAACCCTCTTTGATCCAATTAAAATGGAGGATGGTGTAACAAAAGACATAAAAAGAGGACTTGAGAGGCCTCTGGTTAATTAAAGTCCACATGAAACATTCACTATTAAACCTACAGAGATCTTGTTATTTGCAACACACCAATCCTCCCCCTCAAAAAAAAATCATCATAATAATTATTCCTGTAGGTTTCTAAATGTTCTGTGATAACCCAGAGCTCAGAACACAGCTGGAGCCTTGCAAATGTCTGGAATAAATTTTGCTTTTACACCCACTCACCTGGCCTGGAGCTATCGTGGGATGGCAATTTAGAGCAGTGTGCAACTTGACTTCTTTTTTGTCTTCTTCTTTTCCATCGGCGTTTTTCTGTTGATCTGTCGCACCAGATCATAGAAAATCTACAACAGAGAAGATTTGATGTGTTTCAGCACTTTGCTTCAGTATATTATGGGATGTACGGAGAGAGCTACAGCTCAGGAATGATGTTATCAGTACAAATTCCTGTTGACACACAACACTAAAACGCATGAAATGGTAGACAGCAAACACAGTTTCTCTTGTTTCATTTGCTGGTCTAGCGGTCGAGCAGCTTCGGTCTTTAAAATGAAAATCATACAATTAGAAATCTATTTTTAAAAGATAACTAGAAACACAAAGTCACTAAGTTAACACTGAATGCTTTTAAGAATATCATAAGGTTGTGTGCATTTATGGGAAACTCTCAGGTGTGTTAGTGTAAATCTGCAGCTGATCAACTAAAACTCAATATTTACATTTTTTTTAAGCCCAGTTTTACTCTATTGTTACAGCGAGGAGTGCAACTAGTCAACCAGACATTTAAACACAGATTCCCTCTCATGCTTCCAAAGAAATAAGTCTGGTAAACATATTATTCATGTTTTATTCATGTAGAACTGCAGGTAAGTGTTGGGTTTAGGATGTGAAGACACCACTTGCCACTACACCCACAGCAGATTTGAGCCCCCCACTGAGCTGACTGACACACTTAATGGCTGACTAAAGTAAGACGAGGATGACTATTACTCTGACTTGCTGAGTTTGTTGTGGGAAGTGAGAGAAGCAGCTGCAACAGCAGAAAACAGTCACGCAGACAGGTGCAGGTTATGCTGGTATTGCACTGGTGAGCAAAGGACTGAAGACTGGTGAACTGTCAATTTTAATTTCTGATTTGTTTTCCACTCTTCCTGCAGTTAGTTTGCTCCTTTAGTTAACTGTTTAAAGCTAGCTACTCCACTAACCTGTGCCTCATCTGTCAGGTGTGTGTACCCTTTTTGGCTGGCCTGGCTGAGTCACTGAGGTCTGGTGCTCCATTTTAACTTCTCTATAATTTGTCTCAGTATATCATTTATAATGCTGGTGTAGTCGAGTATATTCCCCCATTTGCATACTTAAATAAAATGAACTGTAAAGTCTTTCAGGATATTTTAATGTTGTGTTGTTAAGTTTTGGTAATAGTATTTACATTTATTGCAGTGTTTCCAAGACAGACTTTACTAGTGATGTCAAGAGTGGCCATCTGACTATGCAATCTGTCCCCACCAAGTTGCAACTGTTCAGCTGGCTCGCATATGTAATTATTTTACTGTAATACAGATATAAAACAGCTTGAAAAGCATGAAGATTTTTACCTTCAGTTGGTAAATGTCTGCTTATTTTTCCCGTTTAAGGACTAAACCTTCCTTGCTGCCTTTGCAGGTGAACAACAGAAATACTAGCCTGCTGAACCAACTATTCATATTTTATCAATGTTCAACATCGGGTAGCTTAAAATACCCCCTATCAATCTCCCTATTTATGATGGGAAGTTGTAAACGAGCAAAGCAGAAAGTAAAGATAGATGACAACCGTGTGAACCAGCACAGTTCTGCAGTGCTATGACTATGCCCGAGAAACCTGCATGTAATCGCTTGACTGGAGCGATGTATCACCACATTCTGTCGACATTAACCTGTGAGGAAGGAAAGCTGCTGGTGATGGCAATGTTAATGTTTACCTACTCAGCAAGGCAATTTGAGCTGTGCACAACACTAGTCGACTAGTCACCGATTATTTTTGCGATTAGTCGACTAATCAGATCATGCATCCACTGGACGTAAAACCTACAGCTTACTGCACTAGCATGCATCTGCTCTTATATAACTATCATTAGCTTACAACTTTAAGTGTTTAAGGTATGTGCTAACTAAAAATAAAGACAAGATGATAGTTTATTAAATTTTAATGAAATTTGCAGATTGTTTCAGTGAAGTTTAATAAACTCAGCCGTCTGCTCCTTGCTATCTAAAATATAACAGGACACCGGAGTATATTCTCCAGCATCTCACATTCTGATAATCAGCTGTCTGCCTGACATTTATTCAGCTGTGTAAAAACTATAACTTTAATCTCAGCCAAACCGATTTACTCAAGAACAAATAAAAAAATTGAAAAAAGCCAAACAATAATATTTTGAAGTTATCTAAGTGACTTATATATCATGTTTAACCTGAGTAGCGAAAGACAGCGGTGGGTTTGAAAACGATTTGCCGGGAGTCCGGTGTTCTCACGGCTCTAGTGAGCCTTGCCCCCGGCTAGCTATCGAGCTGGTGGGTAACAGACGTCTCCGAAAACGTCGGAGCGCTTTTGAAAATATGTGGTGTCTTGATAAACTGAGCAGATATTTGAGGTTTACACAGCTACATTCTCGCCTGAAAATATGTTAAACGTTTATTTTGTGACCCAGAAAGAACAATAAGAGTAATTTTAAAACTAACTAGCTGCTGCCATTGTTGGAACCTGAGCAGGGCCGGGGAAATGAAGGGTGCATTTGTCGGAGTCTTCGAATTTGGACAGTCTTCGTCGTGTCGCTGTAACGTAATCGGCCTACAAATGCGGGCAGGAGGAGGATGTGGTTCCTGAATTTGGACACAGCTACGATACCGGACACTGCTTCTTCTTCTTCGGGGTTTAATGGCAGCTGGCATCCTTGTACATGCAGTGCTGCCATCTTCTGTTTCAGTCCGTTATTACACTCTTAAATCCTACTACTTATTCCTGCGCCTTTTGGGAACAACGCGTCGACTATTAAATTAGTTGTTGACAATTTTGACAGTCGACGTAATCGTGACAGCAACACAATGTCAAAGTGCCTTGAATTTCAAAGTCATATAAGATAAAATATGATTTAATGACTGAAGGCGGTCAACCAGTTTTGGACAGCTGTGGCTCAGGATACTAAATGCCAGATTTCCTCGTTCATCCACCTGACTGTGAGAGTGATAGATAAAAGGCATTTAATAGATGTTTAATTTGTGACAGTTCATTCACTGTTAGCCAGCTAGCTCCAGTACTGTTTTTATTTTTTTAACTGTTTCTTAATGGCAGGGTGATGAGGGTGCTGCTGTCCTGAATCCCTCATCTAGTGGCTGGACATTCTTCAAATCCATATCTTGGAATCCAAACTGAAACTTGTCAGTTGTCATCCTTCTGCGCTGAAGATCTGCAAACTGCAAACTAAAGGGGTTGTTCTAAGCAGGAAGAAGAGAACAGGTGCTGCTACTCTAGACATAAAGAGGCATCCACACAGGAAGCAACTAGCAGCAACGTGGCAAACACTTAAAGAGCACTTAAAATCAGGGTGAAATAACCACTGAGTGATGACACTGAGTGAGCGGTCACGGAGCTCAACTTTATTAACTTAAAGGCACACAACTGATGCAACTACAAATTAGAGTGAAGGATACTTTTGACTGACAAATGAGAAGGCAAGACATACATCTGAGGGTTACCTAGGCAACCTGAGACTTGAATGTCCACAGTGACTGACTGTCAGCAACAAAGCGGTACGTAACAAGCAAATCACTTCCTGTGGACACTCCTTTATAGAATGTTGTAGGGAAAAGTTCAAGATGGTGGAGCTCAAGTCCAGGACGAGAAACTTACTGGGAAGGCAGCTGATTACTGCTCAGTTATTTATTGTCAGAAAGTTTATATGTTATTATTTATGAATTCATTCAGTGAACCACCTCCTGCCTCTATACTGTCATTTTGTACTTATCATTTATTTTGGCCATGATAATTATGTAGGGAATTTTTTTTTTTACAGTATTATAATCTCATGGTGAATTTTAAGATATGACATTTCATAAACGTCAAAGGTCATCGCTACAGTCCTATCAGACAGTTGTGTCATTTTGACATAATTGGCGTATGAAGGCATGCAGTCACTGGTGCAGAAGCATAATGAAGAGAGACCATACGTGCAGCGTGTGGTATTAGCACTTACCTCATTAACGTTGATCTTTGATTTAGCTGAAGTCTCTAAAAAGGCACAGTTGTTCCACTGACGGGCCAGGTTCTGACCCTGCTCCTTCCCGACCACACGCTCATCCTCCAGGTCACACTTGTTTCCCACCAGGATCATGGGAACCTGATGGATTAGTAGACATGCGACATGTTCAAAAAACAAAATAATGAGGAACTTTAGTTTTATTTTTTTGCAGATGTAAAATGACACAAAAGCAATGAAAGAAACAAATACATAAAAATGCCTTCTTCTTCATGTTTATCACAAGTTTCAGGAATCTGATCAGAGGGTGGATTTTAATTAAAACTATCCACATGATCATTATCATCATTATTAATTACAATGGTGGCTCCAAATGATTATGGAAAACAAGACAACAAATATAGGAATATATTAGAAATGCTCAAAAATGTTGACCAAATTCATGTTTGAAAGATTTCATCACAAGACTAAACAGTGGTTAGAAAGCTTATGTGCATACTGAGGAGCAGAAGGTTGCAGCAAAAAGAGACCTTAACCAAGACACACAGACCAGCTGAGCAACCTGCTATGAATAAATAAAGAGCACACACACTCAGCATGCTCCATCTCTCTTGATTTAGAGAGAGGAGAAGGCAGCAGATCGCAACCAACAGCAGCTCTGACATTTCCACCCCGTCACAAAGTTCCTGCCTCCCTGCGCTCTGCCCTCTTCTCCCACGGTGCTGACTTTAATGAAGGAGAGGTGACAAGGGCAGATTACACAGTGAGACGCTGCCAGTTTTCCCTCTGCAGACTGAGGAGCCGCCTCAGAATTACAGCATTCAGATGTTTATTATACTCTGCCAACATATCATCACTGGTCGGTGAAAACAGACATCAGGTGTTCCTTCCAAAAAAACCAACCAACCAAACTTAAAAAAAAAGAAAAAAAAAAGAAAAAAGGATCTTTTACACTTGTTTCTATTTTTTGGTGAGACTTGTATTCATGTCCTAGATAGACACACATATGGATTTATTTTTGCTCTCTCTGCAGATGTGCACCAATGATGTCTGTAGAAAGGGCTGGTCAATGATCTATCCAGTGCTTGCTACTCATTTGTTTGTTGAAGACAAACATAATAAAGATTTATAATATAATAAATATAAATAAATAAACATGATAAAGTTGTTTAAAAAGGAGTCTGTCTGTAGGTCAAAGAAATGCACCAGCATTTTAAGCCAAATAAACTATTTCAAACCCCAAAGGATGCTACTGCTTGTTTTCAAAGCAGCATTTTTATGCGAATAATAGAAAAGGAATCAAGAGTAAATTTAGCTCCAATTACTTTTGTTAAAGCATTATGACATTTTGGGCTAACAGTAATATCTGCAACAGTCTGGCTCATGGTCAGTGGTTATATTTTTTGTTTACTCAGTATTTAACTTCCGTTTTCCACTTTAAAAAAACTTGATAAATATACATGTATATGACACAAACTTTAACTTCGTATCACTTTAGTGTTGAACATTTTACAGTATTCATTCATATCCCTAAATTTAATTACGCAATAGAATATTTCAAAGACATCTGAATGTGACATTTAGCTATCTATTGTGGGGGAGTTTAACAGAGCAAACACACTCCTGCAATAGTGCATGCTGTATCTGCAAAAGCTATAAGAGCTTCTTAATGTATGCCTAGTTACAACTCTTGCTGCTGTAGACTTCAGACACACTGCTGCCAGTGTGAGGAAAGAAAGAGAAAGTGAGGGCATTAATTACTGTAATTAGTGAACAGAGGTAAGTGGGCAGATATCAGGCGAGCAACTGACAGTAAAAAGTGTTAACATTTCATAGGCTGGATTTTTTTTATTAACCTGGCATCTTGTGCCGAAGGGTTGAAAACACCAGTGTATGATCATGTCACTTTTTACCACCATTTTAATGCTATACCAGTACAGAAGCTCAGAGATTCACATGTTATACAGAGGAAAATGTCGCAACAGTTTGGAAAAACAGGACTTTTCAGTTTTCACTTCTCCTTCTCCTACATCAGGACTGATGTGGAGGTACGGTCTGAGTGGCAATCCTTCAGGAGAATACTACAGCGGGCCTTAATGGTGGGCATTAATGGATGCAGCTATGCAATGATGTCAGCAGTGGCACATATACTGGGTCCCCACTACAGAGTGACAGCCATTCACACTTGCATATATAAATGCCAATTAACCATTAACAAGCACAAAAGAGGAAACCAGAGTATCCAAAGAGAGCTCACAAGGGCACAGGGAGCAGTAAAAAACGTACGCTAAGCAAATTGATTGGACAGGTGTACTGATGGTGTTTCTACTAGCCAATTCAAATGTGTGAAACTCATTAACTCATTTCCAACACTGTGCTACTAGGCTGCACAGTGTTGGAGTGGTTAGTGCTGTCACTTCACAGTAAGAAAGTTCTTGGTTGAAATGAGGGTTAGAGTAAACAGCTGATAGTTGTGGTAACCGGTGCTGTTCTGCAGTACTGTGACATAAAAAGAGGTAAGTGGTTGCATGTCGGCTGTTTCTGAATAAACTGGAATATAACCAAACAACCAAAATACAGGTGTAATCACATTCTGCATCGGTATGTGGACGCCAGCATAGAAGAGAACGTAGCTCTGGCCGACCAAACTCTGCAAACCACAGTTTGTATATCTGCCATGTTATATGCAGCATAAAGCTAATCAACATTCAGCAACATTTGAAGCATGATTTGACTAATGAACTCCAAAAATTCATGCTCAATATTTGTTTGGACAGTATTTACGTTTATCAGTAATTATTTTTTTGCCTTGTCAGCTGTAAGCAAGTTTGGCCAATTAATTGGTAGATCCCTTTCTTTTTCTGTTAATTAATCATTCGTGTCATTGCTGAAGTAGACATTAAAGGTTTGTTGCTTTTCTTGGCCTTCTATAAAAAAAAAACTTATTGGAAAGAAGAGATGCTTGGGTTCTAGAAAGTTATGAACCCTTAAAGTTAAAAACCTTTTTGCTTGTGATGTATCAAATAATTAAAGAAAAAAATTAGGAGGTTTTGTTTTGCAATTTTCATTGAACAATGAGGACAAACATTTTTAATGGGGACCTCTTACATGAGAGTGCTTTATAATCAAAACAAGTGTGAAAGTGTGTTAAACTCACATCCTCTGTGTCCTTTACTCGCAGGATCTGCTCCCGGAGGTCCTGCAGGTCGTTAAATGTTGACTGCGCTGTAATGGAGTACACCAAAGCAAAGCCCTGGCCATTCTTCATGTACAGGTCCCTCATGGCCGTGAACTGTTCCTAAAGAACGATAACAGACGGCATCAGCAGCCGGTCCACAATTTCCTCAAAACACCCCTGCATCCTGCTCATGTTTGACTTACAGTTCCAGCTGTGTCCAGGATTTCAAGCATACATTGCTGCCCATCGACCTCGACTTGCTGTTAAAAAAACAACAACAACAACAACAAAAAAAAGGTGCATTTTTACAAGACTTGTTTTATTTGAAAATGTTTACAAAGTCATGCGAAGCAACGAATGTGTGTGCAGGTTAGGTCATACCTTTCTGTAGGAGTCTTCTATTGTGGGGTCATACTTCTCCACAAAAATGCCTTGCACAAATTGGACTGTCTGTAATGAAGAAAAGAAAAGGGAAATAACACAGGACATCATTACCAATCCGAAACTACTACACTCCTCTTTTTTTCCTTCTTCTCACCCCCTCCCTTATTTTCTAGGTGTGTTGGGTGGAGTGTTGATGAATTCTTCTGCTCTTGTTTAAAGGAAGCTGGCCCAGAACAAGCCAGTCTTCAGCATTCCAAGATCCTTGCTTTAATTTGTCAGGGTTTACTTTATTTTTATTACTTTAGGGATGATGGTACAAGATCCTCCCCCTCTTTTAGCCAGTACTTCAGGCCTTTATTTCATTTCTTGTTTAAATAAAAGAACTTAGTCTAATAAATCTCGGGCGTGGCACTCTCTTTGTATGCTTAGCCACAGCTGAGCCTTAATGTTTTATGGATGTGGCCATAACAAGCTTATTACAAAGACAATCTGACAAAAACATTTAATCCAACTTCAAGTCCTTAAATAATAAGACATAATTGTAGCTCACGTTTTTTATATTCTTAAAGTTTGAATTGATCTACAGTCCTATGTAGATATTTTCATTGAAAGCAGGATGTCAATTTGTTAAGAGGTGAGAGATTTTCTTGCACAGATGGACGTTTGATCGCTACCAAAAGCAGTTTTAGGGAGCACCAAATGTAAAATTAACTCCCTGCTTTCAATTAATAACTCCTTTTATAACCATTTTCATAAAGGTATAACATACATTTTCAGGGTCTCTTGTGGCTTGAAATAAGCCTGTGTGAATGACACACCACTGGTCTGTTACCTTACTGAGATATCTTCGCATTTCCCTGTTATTTCTGGTCATCTGGCATGTCTGAGTAAATTAAATCCTGCTTTAAAATCTGTTTAAAAACTGTTTAAAGATTTCTGCTAAGTGATGTAACAGACCGACTGCTGTTCCCATGTCAGACTTTCAATCTAACAACAGATGTACAGTAAATCCTACCTTATAAAGCTCTTAATGTTCAGGGTTTTTTTCTGCTTTACAGGATTTTATCTCAGGATGATTTTGAGTTTTTACAGGTGACCGGTTGCGCTTAATCCTTGGACTCTACAAAAAAGCTTTACAGGACTTCCAGTTCAAAGCATTTCTTATTTATATTTCCTCTGCCTCGGTGCGCAGAGCCTTGTCATTTTAGCTCCTCTGGCTTTACAGTTATTGGCTGCCCCTCGTAAGACGGAAAGTCAGAACAGCAGGTGGCTGAAACTTCTGTGCTTTCATTCTTACGGATTCAAGAGTGGGAGGAAAAAGAGCTTTTGGATCACAGGGATTACGTCTACGCACACACACCTCACTACTTGAAACTTTGGATATGCTTAAAGCGATCATCCGCTCCTGTAACAGTCTATGATAAAACACTGAGGAAAAAAACAGTAAGACCCGTTCAAGGAATTAGTTTTGCATTTAAGGATATATGCATGCTTGCTTTCTTTATAAGTTCTGTTGCTGGTGAATTTAAGGGGTAGTTAAATATGTAAAGTATCCTCATAATTATAAAATATGAAAAACACCTCTTCTTATTGAGATAAATAGCTCAACAGCTCTGTAAACCTCACTGAGAAAAGAAAACATTAATTTCAGCTATGTGGAAATAAAAACTTTGCAACTGTGTGTGTTGTAATATTATATACACACACACATTTTTTCTTTGTCTGTTTGTTTTAATTAACAGCAAAATCACAATTATTTAGCAGTACTAGAGTTTGAAAATATAGTGGATTTTTAAAGTCTGTAAAAGAAGAACGAATGCCCTTTAACCTTAATTATAACTCAGCTCTATGCTTTATAACTACTATACAACCCAACTATAATAAACTGTATAAATAAATATGAACCTTCCTCTGTCTAATGGGAAGTAATTTAGGACTTTAAGGGGCCCATTTTACACTTGTCGTTCTTGCCCTTGAACACCAAAAAGTGATGTCACTGCCACTGAATCGAGCCACGCTTTGGTGTCATTTTGGCTGTCTCTCAATTTTTCTAATCAAACATGGGTCCCGTGGCAAATGATGTGTACGATTGTACACTCCCAGAGTATTGCAGCAATTACTCGTGGAGCTGTGGCGACATCACTATTTGCACTCAACATGACCAATGTGACGAATATAATGGACCCATTACTCAGTGTCAAAAGTAAAGGAAAAGGATGTGCTGAAAGGGAAACTGAGCACATAATAAATATTTTAGCGATCATTGATTAATGGACGCTAAAACTGTGATTAAAATTAGGATTGGATTCATTTACAGTCTTGTATAAACTCATTAAAAAAATACCCTCGGCTTTCAAGCTTTAGTAGCAGCCATCGCTCACCAGTGCAGACTTTCCCACGCCTCCCGACCCCAGCACCACAAGCTTGTACTCGCGCATGGTGGGCAACTTCACTGGACAGCGCAAGAATCTGTGAAAATACAGAAGACAGATGCTAAATATCAGACAGACAATCAATGTGTTACTTTCACTGAACTGTGTGAGATTATTCTGAATAAGCAAAACATTTTCTGGCACTAGTTTTCTTTATGTTCTCATCTCCCCTGAAAGAAGCCTTTAAATAATTAAATGACAGCCAAACGGGTAAGGTTTTTAAAAGACTACAAGTAATAAGTAATGACCCTAACACTGGTGCTGGGAGCCAAACAACCTACTGTGGCAGAGCATTGGATCTAAACCAGAACCTGCTGTCATGAAAAGTGTCTGATGAAACAACAGATGCCAAAATGTGCTATCAGCAGTGCCTCTGCCTGACATACAAGCAAAAGAAGTCCTGACAACTGAGATTGACTGGAGTCTTCATTTTTAGTGTGCCTGGAGGGCAATAAGCTCTTAGGATAAGCACTGATGCATTTTGAATAGTGAATCTACTGACTAGACACTGATGTCAGTGTGAACACCCCCGTCAGTATCCACAACAATGAGAAGTCACTGTTGACCACAGAGGATTGAAACCTAATCATTCGTCTGCCAAAAAATTTTGCTCGACTTCCCACCCACTATCAAGAGACTTCATGATGATACGGGCGTCACCTCTTTACATAAAAAGAGAATTAGAAAAAAGTTTGAAAAAAAGATGGGCTTACTCTCTCCAGGAATTCAAACCAGTATTTTTCCTGGAGGTAAAACTCAAGAAAGAACTACATCTGCAATACAAACATGTAAACTTTAATCTGAAGCACACTGTGAGGCAGATTCTGACAGTGACACTGCAGTCAGCAGGTAAGCCACAAATAACTTCATCTCATTATAATACAGAGGAGAAAGGCCACAGAGAATGACCCGTCATTAAACTCCATCAGCCTGACACATTTCTGTAAGCGTGACCTAGAAAATATTGGCAGAGGAGACAGGAGATGTCAAAGGAATGAAAATGTTTAGGATGAAGACAGGCATTTTAACTGAAATCTGCCCGTTATTCTCCAGAAACCCCTCACTGAATGTAAAGTGAGATTATACCAAGTTAAATTACTGCCTCTCATTTTATCATCACACTCGTCAATGCTGTGGGTTTTCATCTACTGCCTGTTTGATTATTTAAGAGGAAACTTCAGTAGATCTGACTAACTTCCTGTGTGCTTTCAGTGTTGACTGATTGAAGAATTTTCATTTTAACTTGAAAGTGCAGAAATAACAACCAGTAACAACAATGACAAAGTTTCAAAGTAGTATTAAAAGAGAGGCGTATTTTAAATGTTATTCTGAAATGCAAATGTAATGTTCATTTGATGTATAAATGTCAAAGAGGGGGTGATGCAGGCTAAAATCTCATTTGAGAGCCTCTTTGAATCTACTAATTATGCTAGGTCTGTGGGACCTTTGTCAAATGTTGAGCCAAACAATACAAAAACCACTCTGTCACACTCGAACAGCATTTGCAATTCTAATGACGACGTATGAAGCATCACCAGAAACCCACAGTGTGAGGCAGGCACACGAGGCCCTCTACAAAGCGCCATTGTAATGACCCTCATCTACTCGAGTACGCCAAACAGAAAACAGAGATCAGAGCGAGCATGACCACTGCACTGAAATCATTATTGTGGCGAGGAGGGTAGGTGTGCACGTTGAGACGCCAGCGTGTGCCTGATGCATTGGTTGATGCATAAAAATGAAGGCTGCGGAAAATGAAACCGTGTTTAAAATGTAAATTTATGTAGGTGTCGCAAAACTTGCTTCAAAGCCTTGGTATCAGATAAGAAAACTAAGCCTTCCGGTGATTAGATATGAGCCTGGATTCAAACAGTGGCCCTATCGAGCATGCGAGCTGTGGCCACCTTCGCTAATCCCACTCGTTAATTTTTGCTGGCTTTGGTAATGAGAGTACGTGCCTGTGAATGCTAGCAGCACTGACAACTAAATATTCAACTCCATTTACAAATGAACAAAGACCCTTAAAATCCATTTTTAAAAATGACACATTAGCCATTTCCAGGTCCAAAGGCAAACACACAGCGAGGCACTGAGAGTTAAAAAGGTCTAAATTATTCTTCAATAAAATGCTCAGTGTGGCTGTTTTCCCAGATGTTGTAAAAAAGGTTAGTGTCCAGGCATAAATGAAAGAGAATTTCCAAAACTGAGCAAGAAGAAGCTAACTACTTACAAGATGATATACCATGTTCAGACTTCAGTAGACACTAGGACATGGACATATTTTCATTCTGTGAATAAAACACAAACAAAACTGCTCAACTCACTGTGTACACGGCTGCTGAAGATTACAACTCCCTCTACATCTGGGGAGGAGGGGCTGGCAGATCCTCAGGTACAGGGATGTCAACAGGAAGGGTCCAAGGGTCACTCAGGTGCCAGCAAGGCCACGCCAAACTGTTCAGACAGGAAAAAAGTTCTAAATTGAACAATTATCATCCAGCAGGAATGACAATTACAATTTGACATAACTGCACATCAACTTTGGGAGCAACTTTTGTTTTCTTTCAAACAGATTTTCTTGAATGCCAACTACAGATATAGAAGAAAACTAACCAAACGTTGTCAAAAATGACACTAATGGAAAGAGTGGTGCTGAATTATGGTTGTATTGCTTAGTGTTTCTTGCACTGAAAGAAATTCAGCTTGAGAACTGCCAGCACAGGCGTCAACTCGTAAAATGCTCTCGCGCAACCTTTAGCCAATTAGATGACATTATACAAATATCCTGAGCGTGAGATGTGCCTGTGCAATCCAGCATCAAAATTAGGGGTGCAACGATATTCGTATCGATATTGAACCGTTCGATACAGTGCTTTCGGTTCGGTACGCATATGTATCGAACAATACAACATTTGTAATTTATTTTATCAATTTTCCTTCTGACGATGCTGTCTGTGTTGAGCGCTCAGTGGATCTGTGTTCGACTACTCCGCCTAGGCTGCACTGTCGAGCGCAGATCCACTGAGCGCTCAACACAGCATCATCAGAAGGAAGAGCGCAGGGCACCTCCCCCACCCTCATTCAGTTCTGGCGTTTGGAATTATTTTGGTTTTCATGTGACGTATGACCCTGAAGGTAAGCGAGTCATGGACTAAAGTAAAACAGTATGTTGGATGTGCCATGCAATGCTCAATTACATTGGTGTGAACTAGTGTGCTAGCGCAGTTAGCTCGTTAACGTGTTGGCCGTCTAGCCCCATGCACGGAGCGATCGGCGGTAGCTCGTTAACGGAGATTTGCCGTGTTGTGGCGTTAAGGTCATTTCAACGAGATTAACCTGAAAGCACTAGTGGGAACACAACGAATATGACTGCACATTTACGCCGACATCATCCTAGTGCAAAGACAAAAACAACAAGCATGCTACTAACTTTAGCCGAGTCATTTAGACAGCTGTTAGCACATGATTCTCCTTATGCTGCTGAGAATATAGCCCAGAAGAAGCGGATAGTATAGCTTTTATTTTGGAAAGAGCCATTTCTCTGTAATAAACTCTCTTTTCCAAAGATGAGTGATTCCTCAATCAGATACAGGGCTTGCAATATCGCTAGCCCGACGTCCCGGAGCTAGCGATTTTTTCAGTCGGGCTACCAAAATCTATCTCTTCCCTGCCCGTCGGGCTATTGTAGGAAAAATATATGTCAATGCTTTTGCATTCTTTCAGAAATGTAGCTGGGTAATTATGTCATTGGCATCGGTGAGCCACTGTCAATATGTGACATATTGAAGTCGCGTTTGAATTTGCGCTTGTTTTTTTGCTTTCACTTTGCAATCGTGCGAACTGTGTATAGAGAGCGACAGCACTGATCTGTGAGTGATGATAATTTGTGCACCAATTCCTCTGACATCGTCTTATTAATCGTTAGCTTACTATGCAAACATGACAAGTGAAATCTCCCGCAGCAAGCTTAAACATGTGAGAGGTTGATCGCGCAGAGAATCACTGAGCTTATGTGAGTGAGTGTGTAAAAGCATTTCAGTTCTGCTGAGCCAAATAAGACAGGTCAGGGTGAAGAAGTGACAGCCAAAGAAAAGCTTACCACAAAACGGAGAAGTTATGACAAATCAGACTATAAGGCAAAAAGAAAGTGCAGCTTTATGGTTTCATGGACAAAAGAATTTCTGTGGCTGCAATATGACGAGCTAAATAACCAGGGCTGCACATAAGTGGTCCGCAGGTGCGCATTCGCTGTCAAAATAAAAAACACGCACAAGGGTTAGGGTTAAATTTAAAAACTGTACTTTTGAGTTAAAATATATATTTATAATTTTAATAAATGACAAATTAAAAATGCATGAACATTTTTTTGTATCGAAAAAATATCGAACCGTGACACCAAAGTATCGAACCGAACCGAACCGTGAATTTTGTGTATCGTTGCATCCCTAATCAAAATGTAGACAAAGTTGATCATTGCAGTGAATAATTAAACTGTTGTAAAGTCCTATATAAGAGTTACTAACAGGCAGCTAGCTTGACTTTTAACAAATGCCGATACGCAATAATAACCTATTACACCAGCAAAGATACAACCCACCAATGTGAGGAATCTCCTCCCATTAAGCACTGAAGCAGCGCATCTGTTAAGTTTGTGCTGAGGGACAATGATTTCAGGCACTGACAATGAACAAGTTGCACTTTACAACTTGTTCTCCAATTTGTCTTTCTCTTATTTTTGTATATTTCTCCTGTTTGCTATTTATTCCTGCTGTTATTCCTATTTACATTTTAATTTGACACAGTTAGTGTGGAGCACCCACAATTTCGTTGTACAAGTGCAATGACAATAAAGAGCTATTCTATTCTAGGTGACTGGCAATAGCTACCCACTCAAGGCAATTTTTATCCAGTTTCCTCATTGATGCATTATATAAATAATTTCATTACTCCGAGATTAACTAATTCAATCTGTCACAGTTTCTAAGTGTGGATGGGCGCAGCACAAGCTCACGCCTGGACTTCCACATGCTTTGAAGTTAATGTGCGCATATGGCTGCTGTACTGATGGATCATAATCATCATCAAAGGAGAGAAAAAAGGAGGAGGATACTTCCAACAGGTCTGGAGCCAATTACAGTTGGCTAAATCATTCAGCGTATATCATAGCTTGTATATCAACCTGCAAAGATTTGACATGTTGAAACCAAGAAGTTATGGAAACTCAAACAGGCCAAATTCTACCGGCCAGCTGTTCTGCTACTACAAAACAACTTTTTTGGGGCGGGACAGTCATAAGTCAAAATTTAACTCACTAAACTCAAACATCCGAGACGTTAATTCAAAATTTCAACTTAACTCTGTCAGTCAGGAAGCTCCCCCCCCTTTCCAGTGGTGGACACAAGTTTCAATAAGAAATGCACTCCTGGAGCGTTATTCCCTTTCATCTGTGCATTCTATGCCACACATTGTACATTATGGAGGGTAGATGGGCTCTTCTGTCACCTGGCAGCTAATCTATCAGTCATTATAAATGAAATGCTGCTTCATTTGTTTTACGCTGCAGAAACTTCAGCTAATAGAACTGAAAAATGATTGTTCCTATTAGAGCTCTTTAAAAATAACTAAAAAAATAAATAAATAAATCACAGAGAACATTAAATGAGTAGAAACCTTTCACTCAATTACGGTTAAAACAAACAAGCAAAAAAATAACTTACCGGTAAATATGATTTATTACAAACTCTTAACACCTGATAGGGAAAAAAGCCATTTCATTCCGAGCAAACATTACACCAGTCACACAAAAGAAGGTGATCAGAAGCACTGTAAAACTCTACTGTGGTGCGTTTGTGCAGTCACATGGACAGCTTGATGGACGACTCTTTATGGCTATTTAAATAAGCTAAGCTCAGCTGTCATGTTACATAACAAACGCAAAGTTACTCACTGTTTACAGGACCTGTTGCTGATCAACAAACAGACAGTAAAATATGCTGTTCTGAACTATTTAATCACACAGAGTAATATTTTTTAGACCCCTGTTTCCAACCCTGAGAGATACTAGTATCATGTGTCAGAGCCAGAGGGAGGGGGGATTTCAACTTAAAAGCACAAAAAAAATACTTAAGTTAACTTCCCTAAATAAATAAAACATGTTTTTGAAGAAGTCTTTAAAGTAAAACTTTATACATTAAAACAGAAGGCTTCCATTCGACAATTAAATGACAACTTGTTTTCGGGATAACTTTTGTAACGTAGTTAGTTTCGAAAGGAAGGGTGTGGCTTTTAGTTTCTCAGCGCAGCAGACCTTCCCTGTCAAGCGTATTAAAACAACCAGTCACAGAGAGAAGTATCACCAGTTAAACACGAAACAAATGTGAGCCGAATGCCAAGTCTGGGAGTCTAAGATGCCCCAAAAGTAGTCACACTTCGACAACTCAAATGTTAGCATTCTGCTAGCACATTCCGGTGAAAGCTAGCTAACGTCTTAGCCCGGAAAAGACATGGCGAAGCTGTGCGGGACAAACGCCGCGTTAAGTAATGTCGGTTCCGCGGAAGAAATTCCATCGAGTTCACGGTTTAATATTAGTTCCAGTTTGACAAACTCTATTTTAAGTTGCGCTACGGGTAAAAGAACTGTTTAGCAAACACCGGGGCTAATAAGTTAGCTAGACCGTTAGCACAAGAGTGAACTCTTAAAAATAGCTTTTTCTGTTTCATCTGATGCTAACGACTCTGGTTACGCACAAGTTAGCAAACAGACATGCCACTAAACATGTTAGGATAAATGTTTAAAAATATAATCGGATGTTAAAGGACTTGAACCGCAAACCACATTTGCACCGATAACTCATTAGTTACTTGTTAGCACCTCAATCTAAGTTAGCTTCGAAGCTAAGCTATTTTACCACCACTATTATTTAATTACGGCGGAACTAGAAGTAACTCTGGTGTCTCATCAGAGACAAACAAATGCTTAGAGACTAATGATCAAAACAATGAGGACACGGCCCTAACAATTACTCACTAAAATAGCAGTTTTACTTTGAGATAGAGCTGCAGAGGGCACTCACCGTGTTCCGCTATGTGTGCGCTAACTGAAGCTGTGGATGTACGGAAGGGTCGGGGGAGGGGGGGCAGAGAGACCGTCGTGTTTTGATTGGACCAGGATCAGCCAATCACTGCAATCCAGGTTACGGTTCAATTACAACCTCTTCACTTTGAAAACAAGCTCCAGTTACATACTAGAAGTGGGATAAAGCTTAAGGTAAATAACATTACACAATTTGGCATTTATCATATAATCTTGTGTACAGACTTAAACTCTTCTGCTTCGGACTCGATGAAAACAACACTTTAAGTTGTTTTCCTCTTCATTTAACTCTAACAAACTATTCATATTCTATATGGCTTCACTTATGGTTTAGATCACATTTGACCAGGGCCAATTAATTCTTACATTACATGTCTGCAACAAAATTTGAACTACAGATCAATTTTGAATATATAAAAGCTTATCTGACATTAATAAATGGACGATTAATTCTTTTTTAATGATTCACAGAGCAGGGAGAGTGTATTTTTATGGGTTTGACAAGAATCGTTTTTTAGAGAAAAACAAATCTCCCATTTTACCAAAGAAATGAAAACAAAGCACTTATAAAGATATTTTATTGAAAGTTGGCAAGAACCTTTGGCGCTAATGGGATTTATTATATAACCACGTATAAACGCTAAAACTGGTAAACACCGTCCTCCCTTCTTTGTCATAAAACAATACTAATAACTACCCTTTATAATTATCAATATTAGTTAAACATTAATTAACACTTAATTACTGCTTATTGCAAATTTCTCTGTATACATTTAAAGCAGTGGTAGGAAACGAGTGTGTGGGACTTCAGGTGTCATTATAATCCCCACTTTTGAGCTCTGTTTTAGTCACACTTCAGAGTAAATGGATTTGTTTGCTTTTGCATTATGTCTTACATTGTGGGTCCTTGTGCTCGCAAGTGTAAAGGACTCACAGTTTACTTTTTTCGTCTTACTGATCATTCAAAGCACTTTTAACTACATCGCTTTATTCTATACACTTCGAGCATTTTATCTACCTCACATCCCTGACCAATTTAGAATTACCAGGTAACATAACGTATTGTGAAGTGGCTCTCATGTCTGTTCCAAGGCACCACCTCTTAAGGCACCCTCTGACCTCTGTACGGCCCATGTTCTGTGTGTGCACCATATATGATCACTCCTATGCCTTTTTACTGTTACAATCTCCAATTTCCTGTTTTCTGTGTCTATTCAACACATTATGTTGTGATAAAAATATATACATCTCTACATATCATTTTTGTGTTTTTCATGGCTGGACCCTCAGGCTTACCAGGGTCCCTGCCCGGGATGCACTCTTAGTGCAATAACTGTAAATTTGCCACCTTGTCACCATGTACATTCATTCAGCTGCACTTTATACTCAGGCACTGTTGAATATATGCAGACTGTAATTAATTTACCATTTCATTTGCTTCCTACCTTCCCTGTACATTAAGAGCAATATGTCTGCTTTACTTATTTGACATAAATCTGTGCATTTTTCTTTTATTTCTGGCTAAAGGTTATGTTAGGTTACAGGAAATGCCTGTAATTGTAGAGTTAATCCTAAACAACGAAAGTGTTTTCACCATTTTGGCTCTGGCGGGGAAACCCCCTGATAATATAATATAAATAGCACTCACCGTGGCAGCTGTTCTGCTTTAAGTGCCTTCAATATATTTACACTATTATTAGCAGTAGTTTTACTTCTAATACATGATAATAACACTGCACTACATATTTACGTCCATTCAGCATAACTAACTTTATGCTCATGCTGCTGGGAAACTGTAACAGACATACGAAAACTATATTTACAGTAACCAATAAGGAAATACATTTAATATTAAAAGATGATTAATTTAACGTATGATGACATCTTTGTTTTTTAAGAGTCTCTGTATGTATAGAAATGGCTGATAAGCATTTCTCATGCTTTCTAGAGCATACAAATAAACAGCAGAGGATGAACATCCACCGTTCTCTCCTTAAAGCATCAGATTTTCACGGTTAAGGCTGCAGACAGTGGTCTCTTATCTGTTTATATTCGCAGATCTTGAGCAGCTCATAAGTTCTCAGAATATAGATTTGGCTCCCTGAAAGAGAAGAGAAAGCACAGCAGAGGGAAAGACTCCAGATTATAAAAAGTAGCACAGCTGCACTGAGGACGGATGTCTGGCAGGTGATTTTTGAAGTGACGTTTGAAGCTGAATCCAATAACGTGTTCTTTGATGTATATAATGCACAGTGATGTGATATAAAAAGCCATTCATGTTGCTGTGCTTCCTCATTTTGGAGTGCCAGATTTAAAGTGACAGGGACGGCATGTTTTCTGACAGCTATACAGTTTTTTTGTCAGATAAACGTTATTTAAAGTGTCACATTGGTTCTGTTCCGGTTTTTGTACTTTTGGCAGCCAATCACATGCTGTTATTTGCCTGTTGCCTGAGGGATTCGACTATATAAAGTGGCTGTGTATATAACATGTTTAATGTGACCTTTTAGTGCAGACTCTCTCCTCAGCTAATATACATGTACTTGCAGTATGAACAGGCATCAGATAAGGCAGTGCATATTTAACTTTCGATCACAGCCTCTGATATGATTTTATTTTCTCCAGGAGAGCTGAGCTGGCGCCCACCATGCCTTTCTGTTTGCTTACCTGAGAGGTTTGGGTGCAAACAGTGCAGCCATTTTAGCAGGGCTGAGGCCAAAGTCACCACAGACTGAAGTCTGGCCACCTAAGTGGCTAACCAGTGGTGCAGGTGAGGGTGAGGGGGCACAAAAAACTGCAGTTACATCCAGGAAGCACAAGTATTTTTTCTAGCTGAACTTTTTTTATTGGCTGTTGTTCCCATATATAAAAAATGCAGCGTTTTCAACAATTCCATTTTTTATTGAAATTGGTTTTTATTAGATTTTTTTCCCAGTCAGACCTCATTAACTTGTATATGACTTCCTCATCGCAGCCTGCATAGACAAACAACCGAAAAACTGATTTTGGGTATACAGCTATAGAGTGCTGCAGGAATGAATCCAAAACCCCGGAAATGAGTTAGCACTTCTTCTACTTCCAGTTCCCTGTGGTAGGCCTGTGGTTTATACAGGCTTAAGACGTTTTCACATATTGTTCCACTGCAGCTATTCCTCAATTCAGACTGTTTAAAATGTGAAAATCTTCTGCAGCTCACACGGACCTTCAGTTACAGCTTCTGCTTTTGTGTGCTTTGGGTGCTCAGTTAGAGAAGAAAGCAATGTGTATGTATCTGTCCATTTACTACTGTCACAGATGGAAAATTAAATATTTCCTTAATGGTTTCACTGATTTATTTTAATCTTTTGATCATTTATTTGGTGAACTTGATACTCCATCAACAGCTTTAAGTCCTTTCTTAAGTTTAGCAATGACGATACATCTGAGTGAGACATTTTTAAACACCATTTCTTTGTTTCATTTGTTCTGTTTCTTTTTATAATGTAAAGATTTCATGAAAACAAACATATTTTATTTTGAAGCAAAGGTCTCATCACCAACTTGCAAACCACGGGTGTCAAATGTAAGATTTTCGAAGTTGTTGTTTTTTTATAGCTTTTTTTTTTAAAGCACCAAAGTATCTAAGTAATAGATAAACAAAGAAATGATGGTAAAGTTCCTCTTTTTTCACTATCTGCAATAGATTTGTTTTTTATTATATGAAGATATTTGAGGAATTCAATGGTTAAACTTCTTTATACTGACAGAAAGAGGAGTTTCACTGGTCTGACCCACTTAAGGTCAAAGTGAGTTGCATGTGGCTAACAATGTAAAATTAGTTTTACATCCCTGTTATAAACCTTTCAGTTCACTCTCCATTTGATTGACCCTAGTAGTGCATTCTATCCTGTCAGTTTATCCTATAAGATTTTAAAAGTTCAAAAGATGTGACTTTTAAATTGGTGTCACTCAAAACACCGAAGATCTAAGACAAACCCAACCTCAGGGAGTCAGAAGCCTGGATAAAGTGCAGGGTTGTGCCGGGAAGGGCGTGCAGGCTAAAATCTGTGACAATTTCCACATGCTGTGGGGACATCTCAGGGAAAAAAGAAGTAGCAAGAATTTCACTCAACTAAAAAAAACAAAACAGTAAATTATAGTAATTGGCCTCTTACGATCCACCAGGGGGCTGTGGACCATACATTGGGAATCACTGCTCTACAACATAAGCATGTAAAATACTCCAGCTGTGAATTCTGATGCTAGAGGGTGTTTATCAAAAAGTGGCTAGACCTCAGGAGCTGTCGGGGACCTTTAGTGCTGATGATGTTAAAGTCATTTCACCCCTGTGTATTTCATTTACAGCCTGACATTAGCATTTTAGTTCTTGCCATTGATTTACATTTCAATTTGGCGTCGGTTTGTGAAGATAACGTGTAAGCATCACAAACTCTTTGTTTTCTGCAATAATCCAGAAGTCTGTGGAAAAACCGGTTGCTTGTCGAGGGAATCAGGGTGATGTTAGCTTCCATGTTGGACTCCTGCAGGATCCACCCAGGAAAACAAAAATTAGAAACATCAGTTTTTGCGCCACCCTGGTGCTCACACCCTGGCCACTCCTGCAAAATATTGTCTTGTCTTGCCACTTCATTTTAGAGCCTTATATCACTTAGGAAGTACCAACAGTTTGAATGTGTATTTTTAAACATTTCAAGCAGTTTATTAATGTATCTGCGGTATTTTTAGAATTTTAAGGGCTCCAAAAGTGATCTGAGTGACTGATCAGTTAGTCTAGACTCAAACAAACAGTTGGTATGATGAAGTTATTCGAGCAATCACGGTCCCCAGAGGATGGAGCCTATCTATTTTCCTGAGCCCTGCCCTCTCCTCTCTCAGCTTCCCAAACATTTCGGACTTCTCCCACTTGAGACAAAGAGACTGGATGTACAAAGAGATGAACAAATGAAAACAATTACCAAAACAAACCAGGAAGACAAAGGCACAAACACGGAGACAAGTTAGCGGGAGCTAGAACAATAATAAAAAAAAGCCAAACAATATCACAAAACTGAAGC